AGGGATAAAATAAAGAACTAAGGTACTATTTTAGGGTTACTACCTTTAGATATGTATGAAAACACACACACACACACACACACACACACACACACACACACACACACACACTGGTTTGCTGCCTGGTGGGAAAGGGGAAGAAATAAATGCACACAGAAAGTGGAAGGCAAAACAAGAAGGCAGAGAGAAATCATGGACTAGGTCATTGGCAGACAATTTCTGTGGAAACACACATATCCCTTTAAGGATACATTAAATTGGCTCTGGCACTTAAGGCAAGCCAAGGCTAGGCCATGTGCTTCCGGAGTCGCCTGCAAACAAGAGAGGGATCTTCGTGGCTCTTGGCCTGCACAGCTCAACGATGTCCGAGGCATCCGCCAGAAGCTTGGGGAAAGGAAGCGCGCCTCCCGGTCCGGTCCCGGAGGGTCAGATCCGCATCTACAGCATGAGGTTTTGCCCCTACGCTGAGAGGACGCGGTTGGTCCTGAAGGTCAAGGGAATCCGGCACGAAATCGTCAACATCAACCTGAAAAACAAGCCTGAGTGGTTCTTCAAGAAGAATCCGTCTGGGCTGGTGCCGGTTCTGGAGGACAGTCGTGGTCGCTTGATCTGCGAGTCCCTCATCACTTGTGAGTACCTGGATGAGGCGTACCCGGAGAAGAAGCTGTTCCCAGACGACCCTTATGAGAGAGCTTGCCAGAGGATGACCATAGAGTTATTCTCTAAGGTGCCCTCCTTGGTTTCAAGCTTTATTAGGACGAAGAAGAAGGAAGACCATCCTAACATAAAAGAAGAATTGAGGAAGGAAATGAGCAAGCTAGAGGAGGCAATGACTAATCGGAAGACAGCCTTCTTTGGTGGGGATTCTCTCTCTATGGTTGATTATCTTATGTGGCCTTGGTTTGAACGGCTGGAAGTACTAGAACTCGATGAGTGTATAGCCCACACCCCAAACCTTAAGCTCTGGATGGCAGCCATGCAGAAAGACCCCACAGTATCATCTGACTTACTTGATGCCAAGACTTTTCGTGGTTTCTTAAGTCTCTACCTACAGGACAGCCACGAGGCCTGTGACTATGGGCTCTAAGGGCATGAGTCCTTGCTGAATGATATGAATGGCAAGCTTTCACTTAGCCCAGTATTCTCCCTGGCTCATTTCTCACTGATTTCACCTTATGGCCTAATTGGGTTTCCTCCAGGCCCCTCTACTGCTGTATTTCTATTTCAGAATAATCAATTCTAGTGGTCCTAACACTTCACAGAAAACCCCCAAACCATCACCTCTAGTTTGAACTCCTGATTTAAAAAAAAATGTCAATTTTTATTCCTTATTTTTAAATTAAAAACTGTGATTTTCCACTATTTCCATCAAAAAAAGGATACATTAAATTTATTCTACTTAATTCATTATCTCGTCAGATCCTCACACCCCTGCAAGCTGCTTCCTGAAGGCGCCCAGAGGCGTCCAGCTCCTCCACACCTTCCAGGTGAGACAGCGGTAGTCATTTCTTCTCAGCACTTGTGTTTACTTGGATCTCGGTGCAGACTAAGACAAGTTCTCCTAAAGTCATTTGTCATTTGTCATGTTTCCTTAATTGGGACTGCTCTGTGTGTGTGGGGGAGGTATTGGGAATTGAACCCAGGCTCTTGCACATACTTCGGCAAGGGGTCTATACTATTACGCCTCCACCTGGACCACTGCGTTGTCACCAAACCACATAGAAAGATTCTTTTTTTTAGTAAGACCCTACTTATGGAATTGTGTGTTGCTTTTCAGTTAATTCATTTTCAGTGTAAAAAAGAAATCCTAACTAAGAGGTATTACCTTCTATGGCATAAAAATAATTCTGATCACTATGACTCATGTTTCCCAAGCCAAACAAACCAGGGGGTAGAATCTGCACACAAGAGTGATAAATCAGTCTGTCTCCACATCTGTTCCCTCAGCATTAGGGGGTCCAGCTTACTCAAAACTGTCAAATGGTTCTAATGTCCTCAGGAATTTTCTTTTGTGCTCCATGAGCTGGCCCTCTAAGCTTTTAAGTAACATTTGCTACCTCTTTTCTTTCCAGTTCAGTAATGACTCTCCAAATGACAAAGAGGCCCAGTCCTCCTGGCTCCACCAGAGAGGGCCTGGGAAACTGAGGCTCAAGTATGATTCTTCTGGGACTGGAGAGCTGGTTTGGTGGCTTAGAGCACTGGCTGATCTTCCAGAGGACTCGGGTTCAGTTCCCAGCACCCACATGGTGGTCACCAGTTCTAGGGGATCAAGCGTCATCTGATGCCGCAGGGTCCTAGGCACACATCTGGTTCTCAGGCACACATGCAGGCAAAACACTCATGAAAACCTCTCAAAGCCAATTCCTCTTAATGCTGTAAGTGGCACTTAAGTATTTTAGTGAAATCCTACTTTTAGCTTTTCCTTGCTCTTGTTTTGATAGTATCTATTTCTTAGAGTTCATAATTAGACCTGCGATGTGGCTCAAATTAACCAGGACAACAGGGAGTTTGGGGTGATGTAATGGTTTGAATGCCAAATGCAGCATTTTTTCTCTAAGCTACTCCTTACCTTTGGCAAAATTTAGTTGGACTTACATTTCCTCATTGTGTGTGTGCGTGCGTGTGTGTGTGTTCATGCATGTGCATGGGTGTGTGTGAATGTCTGTGTGCGTGTGTTCGTGTGTGTGTGTGTGTTCATGCTTGTGCATGGGTGTGTGTGAATGCCTGTGTGCGTGTGTGCATGTGTGTGTATGTTCATGCTTGTGCATGGGTGTGTGTGAATGCCTGTACGTGCGTGTGTGTGTGTAGGCTAGCAGGTATGGAAGCCAGAGGTTGATGTCTAGTTTCTTTCTCAATAACTTTTTACTTTGTTCCCCCCTGAGATATAGTCTCTCACTAAAACCAGAGCTTGCTGATTTGGCTAGACTGGCTTGCCACTAAGCCCCAGGGATCCTTTTGTGTCCACGGCCTTACTGCAATGATTACAGGCAGTTGCAGGTTTTTATTATTACCATAAGTGGTAGTTTTAATGTGGACATAGGGAGGTAAACTCATTCTTCATGCTTGTGTGGAAAACACTTTACCGATTGGCCCATTTCTCCAGATCCTGGACTTGCACCTTCCAAAGCCTTCACTTTTCCCCAGAAGTCTCCTTCCTCTGCACACAAACTCCTGATGGGGTTGTTCATCCATCCCCAGGCACAGCCAGGAGATTTGGGTTTTGAACTCAACAATGCTGGCTTAAGAATAATTATAGACACACATAAGCGAACAGTCTGGCCTGCGGAGCAGCGTTAGAGAGATGTTGATGTTTGAGGACACACATTCACAGATACCTGTCTTTTATTAGGCTCAGTCTTTGCAAAGCTATTCCATGGCTTCTCAGCTTTAACTTGTGACCCCAACAAACCTGGTTCGTAGACATGGGGAGGCAGATTCTAAGCATGTGTCTTCAGCCAGATGTCCACAAATGTCTCTGGCAAACACCCAGTGAAGTGTCTGACCCATGGTTTTTATAAGTATTTATCAAACTGAGCTAAATGTCTGGGCCTCAGTTCCCCTCACACCTGATGTCATATGCTCTACACTGTTTGAACTGATGTATCTCTGTTCTGCCCTTATCATTGTAAAATAAACCAGATTCTCATTTTCTTCCCCCAGTCGTATTTTCTGTCTATCATTGTCTGTGTGGTTGGCCTTGGCACAGCCTTCTCATTCTCTGTGTCTTCTCCCACTGTGGAACATGGCTTTCACAGCTGCTTTTTGACTCTCGGGGCCCGTGCTGAGCTTATGACCCTTGAATGACTCACCCCTGACAGTATAAATCTTCATTTCATACAGCCTAACTGGGGCTTTCTGTGTGTCACCAGCCAAGCCCTGCACTTACTGAGGTCTCCCATACTTTTTCCCCAGGACCCCCACCTACCCGGCTGTCTACGCAAATGAGGGCAGGGAAGAGTTGGCAACCCACTTAGAAGAAACCCATGGGAAGAGGTATCACCGTGAAGAGGCTAGCTCTCAAAGGGAGGCTGAGTCTTCTGAACTTACCTGTGACCGTCTGCCTCCCTCCACAGTTCTGCTCACCCAGAAAATCAAGACCCTTAGGTCTTATGCTTTATCAAGAGGGATCCAGGCTCTGAAGGGTTAAGGCCAGAACTTGGGTGGCTGGACAAGCCTATTAGTTATGTTAGGAGAGCCCAGCAAGTGTCCCTCCCCTGTCACCTACCTGGCATTTTCACATGACATCTCTTTCACTCTGGCCACAGAAAGGAGACTGGTGGGGCGGGGAGGGGCTGGGTGAGAAGAGGAAAAAAAATTACAAACTATTTGGAAAGTTTGTAAATCTTTGTGTTTTCATTTAGCAGCAGGAATCTCAGCAGTAGCCAGTTGAGGGTTGAATTTTTTAAAAAGGAGAAATCCTGGATGCTAGAACCATCCAGGTTCTTCTTTTTTCTTCTCTTTTTTCTTTCTTTCTTTCTTTCTTTCTTTCTTTCTTTCTTTCTTTCTTTCTTTCTTTCTTTCTTTTTTGGTACAGTAGGAAGTGGGGCGGGGGAGGGATTAAATCAAACCTTCTTCGAGGACTCAGCTCTGAGTTCTCATGGCCAAAACACGAAGGATCAGCTCCACGCCTGTGACTCAACTGTCCAGGAAACGTGAAAAGGAAGAGAGTCCAAGCCTGAAGTTGTTCTTATAGCTTCAGCTCCAGTAAGAAAAAGGAGATGGTGGTGGGGTGACGATCCTATGACGGGACCAAGTCTTGGAGGGGAAAGGCACGGGGAGGCGCGAGGAGGGAGAGAGGGCAGGAGGGAGCCGCGTCTTTAAGTCTGTCCTATGGTTATACATATTTTTCTTCTATGAATGGGTTTTGCTGTAAATTATAGCTTTGCTCGTGGTCCCTTGGGTCAAAAGAAATAGTCTCTAAACAGAACACAGCTCTGATTGGTGACTTGCCTTCTCCCTCCCCAGCCCCCTTCCTAATTGAAAGCAAATGTGCAATATATTGGATGCTGGGATCCTTGGCGCAGGCCCAGGAATCCTCAGAATGTGAGGTTTCTCTCAAAGGCATCTTGCATCAGCCTGTGGATGTATGCCTACCACGGGGGCTCCTTCACCGGCAAAAGTGGAAAAAGAAGTGGTTCACAACAAATTCTTCTTTTGGGGTTGGGGGAACACGTTGGATTACAGCCGTTTCCTTCTGTTCAAAACTGGCGTCCCGGGATGGAAGTAAGTGATGCGGCTCTATTTTTTTTTTCTTTTTTGTCTCTCTCTTCATTTTCTTTTTCAAAAACGAAAGCTCTGAGTGTACTTCTCTTGGTGTGTCAGGAAAAGTTTTAAAAAGCGGCAGCGGACAGTTTGAATCAAGGAGGAAGGGCGGGAGCCGAGCTCTACAGACTCAGGACCAAGGCAGAGCTCACGTTTTTGGGGTCTGGATTTGTGTCAGGGAGGGAAGAAGAGGCGCCAATAACCAAAGAAGGCCGAAGCGAAGTACAGGACTCCATAGCAGCTGCAAGGTACAATAAACAGCTTTAGCAGAGTTGGAAATGTTGGCAGGCAAGACAGGCCGATCGCAGAGTTGGGCTGCCGGAGCGAGGAGCCAGGAGCTGTGTTTTCAGGCATTGAGTGGTGGTGTTTGAAGGGCCTGAGTTTTGGTGAGAACCCGACCTAGCACCTTTTGTGATTTAACTGTGGGAAGGTCAACTGTGAGGTCTGTGGATGTGGGGTGGCTTGACCTTTGGGCTTGGGTGGCTGGGCGGGAAGGCCAGCTGCCTGGAGGGTTTGCAGTGGGTGACACGGAGCAATCGCTTCCCAGACTCGCAGTCTCCCTGTGCTAGGGGCTTTTCCTTTTGTTATCAGAGGACTTGGGGCTGTTTCCAGTTGGGACCCAGAGTCCTGGCCGGGGTTCAAGAGGCCCATCCAAGTGAGAGAGTTCTCTCAGAGTGGCAGACTTACTCAGTTCAGCCATTTGAGGAGCGTTGGGAGTGCTTAAGCCAGTGGCGGCTTTAGCACCATTTTAACCATGCAGCGTTCCGCATCCTTCCTAGCGGCAACTGGAGTCCGGAAAAGGGTCTTTGCAATCGCCATCTCTTCTGACCCTCTCATTGAACAAATTTCAAAAAATGATAGCAGGGGACTGACTTGTTCAGGGTCTCTCAGCACATTAGAAGTGACATGGAAAAATGCACTCAGCTGATGGCGTGAGTTCCCGGCGCACTCCGTGTCGCTTCCTCAGGCTTATTTTTAAGATTTGGACGAAACAATAGAGGAAGGTCATCTTGAGGATGTTATCAGCAATAGAGAAGATGGGAGTAATGGTTCATCAGCTAGTGGCCCTTGGTGTGTGTGTGTGTGTGTATGTGTGTGTGTGTATGTGTGTGTGTGTGTGTAAAATGAAACAAAAAAATCTTAACATTTGAATCCTTAACCTGACCATCCTCCACATTCAGAGATTTGCCTGTTATATGATTGAGTCCCCACCATTCTGTAAGGCATTATTCCTATCTTATGGGAAGGGATGGAGAAGTGAGATGAATTGTTCAAGAAAACACAGCTAATGCTCTTGAACGTTGCTAACATCCGGCTCTCCATGCTGTGCTCCGAATCACTGGGGAGCAATTCTCCCATCACCCCCTCCACATGTGGACTTGCTTACTTTTGGAGTCAAATTCCACGTTTCAGTGGGTAACCGGGAGGTGCTGATATCAGGCTAAGGGAAAAGTTTGGAACCTGTGCTTGGAGAAACACTCACCTGGGTGTCAGATGTGGGTTAATTTCTAGGTATTGGGTGTCTGTTTAGCTTCGTTATGCAGAGAGCCCAGGGCATTTTGAGTTGATAGACCCAAGTTAGGTTCTGTCTTTACTTTCAAGTGCTTCCGGCTCTTCAGCTTCAATGTCCTCTGCATGGAAATAAGAATGCTCTTGAATTTTCCTGTTCTAAGAGACATGTGCCTCAAAGCAGTCTAAAGGCTGTGAAGGGCTTCATTATGTTCCCTCTTACACTTGTAGGAGATGTTCCTGACTGTACTGGGAAGCAGCTTTTGTCACGCTGAGTCTGGCAGTTGGTGTAGACTTGTGGGAGAGTGTTTGGATGGGACTATGTGTGTGACACTCTGAAGGGGGGGCTTTTTCTTCATTCCCATCTGTGTGTGTGTGTGTGTGTGTGTGTGTGAGAGAGAGAGAGAGAGAACATGCACCGGTGTGCATATGTGTATGGAGACCAGAGGTCAGCCTTAGGTGTCATTTCCCTTGTTTTTTTGAGACAGGAACTTTCATTGGCCCAGTGCTCACTGAGTAAGTTAGGCTGGTTGGCCCCTGGGTTCCAGAGATCCTCCTGTCTCTGGCCTTGTATTGCAGGATCACAAGTATGTGCCTTCAGCTGGTGTTTTTATGTAGGTTTCAAGAGACTAAACTCAGGTTCTCATGCATGTATGGTAAATATTTCACCGGCTGAGCTATCTCCCCAGCCCTTCACGCCCATCTTTCAATGGAAACAATTCTGGCTCATGGAGAAATAGATTTACCCTCTGAAAATTTCCTTTCTGGTCTGGTTTTTCCATGGTTCCTCATCCAAAGTGGAGCAGGATGAAGGCCAATAGGTTACTTTAAGCATCTCTGGGATCTGTGCTGTCTTTGAATGAGAAAGGTGTACTCAGGAGGAGCATCCCAGCTAGCTGAGGACAGATCTGGGCCCAGGATCATCTCCCTGGCAGATACATCTCCCTCCATCTTCTGGGTCCCATTGCCTGTTCTGGTCTCGTCGTCAGAAAGGTGGCAGTGTTCCTGAGGTGGAGGTGGAAAGCTAACATGCAGAGCCCCTCTCTCTGTTTCTGATTAAGATTATGTTGCTTTTATAAACCTCAGAACTAAGAGACGTTGAGAAGGTCTTTCCAGAATCTTTGGATCAACAGTCTTCCTGTCCAAGAGCAAAGCAGAGGCATCATCCCAGAGAAGTCTCGCCCTTCGCCCTTCTCCCCCCTCCCTCGCCTTTCTGCAATACTTTCTTCCCCTCTCCCACAGCACTTCTGGAAATGGAAGCCATTTGGATCCGGATCTCCTGTGGGAAATTTAGTCCCGCCCTTTCCACGTTAGAGCATCTCAAGCAGACGCATTGATAAAGACAGAGTGCCCCCCCACCTATCAATGGCGTGCCCCGTCAATTTAGCTTTAACTCGGGCATCTATCTCAGCTTCCTCGGGAAGATGCACCTTCAGGTGTTTTCCATCACCTCAAACACACAGGCCAAAGCAAGCCCCGCCTAAACGTGGATGGCCGCACATGCTAGTGTGCGCTAGCTCACACCACTGTGGACTTGTCTGCCATACAGACACAGTACGCTCTTTATGTGCCCGGTCTACCGAAAGCTGTGCAGCGTGTGAACCGGTTGACTCTTTGCCGACAGGGATTACCAGGCCATGAATGTGCCCAATATTCCCAGGCAGCCCAGAGTTTCTCTGGACTCAGCAAATGGGCTCAAAACCCCAGTGTGTGCCCTTATAGCTGATAAGATGATCTTTTGGGAGACTTGTTCAGCAGTAATTTGGGACCATGCATAGACCTTAAGGACTTCTAGAGCAATTAAATCAAAATACCCAAAGGTGGACTATGAGAGCTGGTATCTTGAGGTGCTATCCAGGCCTTTCTAACTTGACCAGAGAAAAGTATTTGTGCTGACATGAGTCTAAGGTATTTCAATTCAATTCTGTTCGACTTTTTTCAAAATGACACAACTTAGCAAATATGTCTAGATGACTGTCCAGTGATATTTGCTAGAACTCCAATGACTCAGTGATGGAACTGAGGGACTTTAAGTTGTTTTTTTATTCACTGTATTTGCATATATTTGAATATATTATAACCAAGGCTGCATGCTTCATAAATAATTTGCTTATAAACGATTCGCTTATTTTGAGGTCCATTCTAAATTTTTTCTGTTCTTAACGTTTCCTGTGGAACCATTGAGTATTTCCAAGTTTCTGTAGTTCCTCCAGCCCTGTCGTTTGACAAATTGTGTACTCGCTAGCTAGACTTTCACTTTGGCATGTAAACACAGGGGAGGTCAACTTTGTCAGTATTGGCCTGGCCTGGAAGATGGATGCACAAACAAAGATGCTGAAAAGTTGGCTTGAGACTGATGCCGCAGTGCTGAGCGTCCATGACTTTTCTAGAAACTAAGCCATGCTGGCAATAGAGTCTTGTCGCTGTGCTTCGTGCCCACCTCAAATCTTTGATGAGCCCCTCAAACTTGCTCAGAGATTGGTTAATGCTGTCTGGTGCGCTACAGTGTGAGAGATGGGGGAAGGGCAGGTGGTGGGAAGAACTTGGCAGGCGAGTGCCGTATTATGAGGTTTTGATTCCAGCGCTATTATTTTTCATGAGGAGATTTATCTTCATGGAGATACATACAATCTCGTTTGTCTTGTTCATGAACTCTTGTTTTCTTTATTTTTTTTGGGGGGGTCAGTTCAGAGAAGATAATGCTTTGGAAACTGGAAAGATGGTTTGTGGGGATGCCCATTGGTATCTTTCATAGGAATCTGCCCAGTTAACTTTGCTAAATATTGTGTTTAGGGTCTTTTTATAAAGATGAGGAAAAACGCTAAAGTTGTGTGTGTGTGTAAATACATATATGTCTGTATGTGAACACTGAGGTCAGAAGGGGACATTGCATCCTCTGCAGCTGAAGTTACAGGTGGTTGTGTGCTGCCTGATGTATGTGCTGGGAACTGAACTCAGATCCTCTGCAAGAATAGCAAGTGTTCTTAATCATTTAGCCCTCTCTCCAACTTCTGTGTTTAGGGTCTTAATGGCATAGGAAGCCAGAATAAATTGAGATGGGAGATGAATTAGAGTAATCTAGTGATTTTTAATTTTTCTTTTTAAATTTAGTAGATTAGGATTTATAAGACATTGAACAGAGATAATGTCTGAATTCTTTTGTCTAAGATAAAAGGTTTCTCATTAACCTTTTCTTCTCAAATGGTGTTATTTTTAAAACTCAAAGGTTAGTTTCATTAAAATTTTAATTGGTACATAAAAAGTATATTTCTATCTATAATGAGTTATATAGCATTCTTGCATTGTCTACTATAATTTTGTTTTTTTTTCTCTATTGATTTAACAATTCCTCAGCAATTATTTATTTGGTATATACCTTCTAAGTTCTAAGTTTTAGGCATTATAATCATTTATGATCACTTCTTTCTTTGTTTGTGTATGTCCAAGTTCGT